CCACTGCCTCATGCTCTACGAACCTCCTCCCTGAATGGTTAGCGTTTACCAGACGTCACCCACATTACTGAACTGATAACATCATTCCGGAAATCAGTTTGTTTGTTTTTAAGGCTCCACTAACCCATCTGGTTCTTGGCTATCCCTGGCTGTTACAACACAACCCCACTCACTGACTGGAGAAATGGCTGCATTTCTAGATGGAGGGAGGAATGCCACATGACATGCCTAAGATAATCCAATCCAATCCAATCCAACTTTATTTATATAGCACTTTTAAAAACAACAAAGTTGACCAAAGTGCTTTCCAATAATAAAACAATAATGATAATAATAATAATGGATTGCATTTATATAGCGCTTTTCTAGGCACCCAAAGCGCTTTACAATTCCACTATTCACTCACACTCGCATTCACACACTGGTGGACAGCGAGGCTGCCATATCGCGCCATCGGCCCCTCTGACCAACACCAGTAGGCGGTAGGTGAAGTGTCTTGCCCAAGGACAAAATGACCAGGACAGAGATGGTAAATGGACTAATTCTTATATAGCGCTTTTCTCTCCCAGAGTACTCAAAGCGCCGTATGCAACATGCCTCATTCACACCCACTCATGCAAGCACTTCTAAACGCAAGTGCAAACTAATCTACATTCACACACAGTCACACTCCGATGAATGCATTGGAGGGCAATTTGGGGTTAGTATCTTGCCCAAGGACACTTGACATGCAGACTGGGGAAGCCTAGGATCGAACCACCAACCTTCCGATCAGTAGCTGAGCCACAGCCACCCCGAGAGAGCAGGGGGACCGGCGACCTTCTGGTTACAGATGAGTTTCCCAACCCCCTGAGCTACGGTCGCCCAGATCTACCACCTCCGTCTCTCCTCTTTCCAGCATCACCTCCGCCAACACCTCCGAACCTAGCTGCTGTTCCTTTGGTTTATCATGAACTGGCTGAGGTATTTAATAAGGATCGTGCCTCCACACAGGCCCAATGATTGCGCTATTGACTTGCTATCTGGGCACCATTGCCAACCAGTCGACTCTAAAGCCTGTCCCAGCCAGAAAGGGAGGCCATGGAGGAATACATTACCAACTCACTTGTTGCTTGGATAATTCAGCCATCTTCCTCTCCTTTAGGGGCAGGATTTTTCTTCGTGGAAAAGAAAGACAAGTCTGTAAGACCTTGCATTAATTATCGGGGTTTGAACACAATAACTGTTTAAAAAAATGCCCGTTGCCTTTGTTGACTTCTGCGTTTGAGCTTCTCCAAGGAATGACAATCTTCAGTAAACTGGACCTCCGCAATGCGTACCATTTGTTTCGCATAAGGGAGGGGAACGAGTGGAAGATGGCCTTCAACACTCATTTGGGGCAATTTGAGTATCTTGTCATGCTGTTTGGGTTAACAAACGTTCTGGCAGTCTTCCAGGCCATCGTTAATGACATTCTCAGAGACTTCATCAACCACTTTGTTTTTGTCTACCTAGATGATATCCTCATCTTCTCCAGGTCAGTGGTGGAGCATGAACGGCATGTAAAACTAGTGTTGCAGAGGCTGCTGGAGAACCGTCTGTTTGTTGAAGCTGAGAAGGGCTTCCTCTCTTCCATTATTAAACAGGAAAATCTGAGACCGGATCCAGTAAAAGTCCAAGCGGTCTTGGAGTGGTCCACACCACCAAACTGCAAACAGCTTCAACGATTCCTGGGGTTTGCAAATGTCTATCGTCGCTTCATTCACGACTTCAGTAAAATTGTCTCCCCTCACCTCTCCAAAGGTCCTGTTTCAGTGGGGGCAGGCAGCCCATGAGGTTTTTGCTCACGTGAAGCAACCTTTCACTTTGGTGCCCATTCTCACCCAGCTGAATCGCACCTGACCCTTCCGTGGAGGTGGAACTTAGTCAACAGACTGAAGGTAAACTCCATCCATGTGTTCACAGAACAAAATTACGACGTTGGCGACAGAGAGCTACTGGATATCAAGTTGGTGATGGAGGAGTGGCGGCAATGGCTTGAGGGAACAGCACAGCCTTTCACTGTGTGGATAGACCACAAGAACCTCGCCTACCTTCAGTCAGCAAAACGGCTTAACGCGCGCCAAGCCAGGTGGGCCAGGTTCAGTTTCTCAATTACCTACTGGCCTGGGTCCCAAAACGTCAAGCTAGATGCTTTATCACACCAGTTTTCACCTTCTGAGGAGGCTCGAGTGGAAACACTGGCCTTTCCTAGGGGCTGTGTAATAGGAGGACTCCCCTGGGAAATTGAGTCAGTGGTATGGCAGCATACCGAACCTGATCCTGGGACAGGACCCCCGGACCGGCTCTATGTCCCTTCATCCGTGCAGGCCCAGGTGCTCCAATGGGCATGATTCTCGTGTCATCCTGGAATCCAACGCACCATCTCGTTCCTGAGAGCCTGTTCTGGTGACTTTAGCTCAAGATGCCCGAGAGTATGTAAAAGCCTGCACCATCTATCCCCAAAATAAATCACTGACCTCTCCTCCGGCGGGCCTGCTCCAACCGCTAACAACCCCAGGCCCTCTTGATCACACATCGCCCTGGATGTTTTGACAGGCCTTCCACCTTCACCAGGAAACATGGTAATTCTGTCTATTATTGATTGCTTTTCCAAAGCAGCACATTTTGCAGCTCCCCACAGCACTCAAGATGGACCAGCTGCTGATGGATCACTTGTTCCACCTGCATACAATCCCTTCAGATGTCGTCTCCAACCGTGGACCTCAGTTCACGTCAAAGGTATGGAAGGAATTCTGCTTCACCATTCTCACTCACTATGTATTAACAGACCTCTCTGCATTAAATCATATCTGTTATTAACCTCTGTCTCTCTTCCACAGCATGTCTTTTATCCTGTCTTCC